CCAGTCTACCGTTCCCCAACATCTTGATAACCTGAGCATACTCTGGAAAACATAATACAATAATTAATCCTTGACAACTGTACAGAAAAATAATAAAAAGATATGCATTTAATTACAGTTTATACATTGCTTGGAGGAGCCCTGGTGGCGCAGTGGTTAAATGCATGTACTGCAGCCACTCACTCACAAACCACAAGATTGCGTGTTCAATACCAGCCAGGACTCAGGGTCCACTCAGGCTTGCATCCTTCCAAGGTCGCTAAAATGAGTACCTAGTTTGTTGGGGCAATTAGCTTACAGTTGTAAACTGCTTAGAAACTGCATAGCATGGTATGAAGCGGTATATAAGTGAAGCTGCTACTGCTATTGCTATCTTGACCTATTTGAATCAACTAGAAGCAGAATGTCAGGTTTTAAAGAGATGATTGTTGACTTAAAAGTGCCTCAGAACTCAGACATACACATACCCCATGCCAGTCAGCAAAGATACATTTCTCAATGCAAGATAGCTACATGTAATGAACTATATCCCTATATCTGCCAAAAGACCAATTTTTCAAGCTCTGATTGAATAAGACATGCCATTTGTCAATTTTCATTGCATTCTGGTGATTTTACATCAGAAGAATATTTAGCTAAGGAATCACCACAATGCTGATCACATCCAGAATTCTTTCTGCCTTGTTTATATGATTTTCTTGAGAGATACTGAAATCCAGAACTATTGCCAGTCAGGTGTGAAGGATTACATGGGTGAAAAAAAAATCTTGGCAGAGACCTCAGATAAAGTCTTCTAGTCCTGGTTCTAGGTGTGCAGGACGAAATTATATTCTCCCACAGCATCAGGTTCATAGCTTTGGTATTAATATAATATTACTAGAATCATTCTGAAGTCATTCATCAATGTTATTTCCAGTTAGAAGTATAAACGAGTCTATTAGACTTCAAAAGCAGACTGATACTGTTTGAGAAAAGATACGTGTGAAATAAAATTAAACTAGACCTCTCTGAAGAGGCCAAGCTATGTGCTAAATGTATTTTTCCCAAACTCTTCCTCCAGCCCACCGTCTTCAGTTATTGCAAAACATGTTCTTGTCTTTATTTTCTGTGCTGGGGGGGGGGGTGTCTTTCTGTTCTGCAAAGAAGAACTTGTATGGTAGAATATATATTTATCTGCAATTCACATTTCAGTGACATCTGGAAAAACTTATTTGCTCTCTCACAATAAAACTTCATGTAATTGAGAGGAAGAACATGAGCTTTTCCATGACATCCAAATGACATCAAGAGTTCTATATTATTTCATGCATGAAATGGAAGACAACAAAATCATCTCTCACCTTGCCCATCTTCTTTGAATACCAGTTCTCTTTTTTCTGATTCATTCTCATTCTTACCTCGCCTTCTGTTTTTACCTCCCTTACCTAAAATTTACACAGAAACAAGAAAGGAAGGTTCAACTCGAAATCTTACATGAAGACCAATATTGAGGAAACCATGTCTCTAAAAAAACCTATTTTACTTTTTCCATGCAGTTTGAAAGTATGGTAATTCCCATCAAAAAACAAAGCAAAATATCAGTAAATATGAATTTCAAACACCAGGATACTACAAGTGTTGACCAGTTGCCTTGATTTTGTGATTTCACCAATTTCAGGTTCTTCTACATGATGGGATGGTTCGTATGTAATACTACCAAGGAGGGGAAATATGTAGCACTCCAGATGTTATCAAATCCCATCAGCTCCAGCCAACCAGTCCAATGGAAAAGTATGGCACCACTCAGTGGGCCAAAAGTCTCCAACCCCTCCATAAACATAGATGGGAATTCTGCAGTTCTCTGGCTGGACTGCAAATACCTGCAAAACTAGGAAGCAAAGCTAAGAGTGAGAAATATGAGTAACACATGCTTTTAATAAACAGTCATCTTGTCTTACTCTTTTTTTCTGGATGCTTGGCAGGAGAGATTTTTTTTCTGCTCATGCTATAGCATTAAACTATGGTTCAGAATTAAATGCAAAAATAAAGGATAGGGTATCTTTATATTTTGTTTAGATTTTTAGAGATTTGCATATTCCAGCTGCCTCTTATCATGACAATTGACTATACTATTATCTAGCTTTATATGTCCCAACAGAAATGAGAACACATTAATAACACAGACCGATCATCATCAACAACATACACAAACATGGAAGCTAGGAAAACAAGAAATGGAACATATACACAATATACAATACAATACTTGGAGTGAGTGAGCTAAAAGGGACAGGAATGGCAGATTTTTGGTCAGATAATTTACACAGTGTTATTATTAAATAATTTGGCCTAAGATCAAGACATAAAGGAGAGTGACTGACTGAATTTTGCAAAGCCAACAGTTTGTTCATCTCAAACACATTCTTCAAGTAACCAAAGAGGCAACTGTATACATGGACATCACTTGACAGCCAATATAAAAATCAAATAAACTTCATAATTGGAAGCAGAAGTCGGAGAAGCTTCATCCTCTCTGCAAAAACAAGATCAGGAGTAGTTTGTGACACAGACCATGAAGTACTAATATCAAAAATTAGAATACAGCTGAAGAAGAACAATAAGCCAACTATCATGACAAAACAGTCCCTGAAGAACATCTCTATACAATTTAAAGGCAATGTAAAAATAGTTTTGCATTATTAAGCCTAATTGAGCAGGAGTCTGAAACTCTGGAGTGAAGCCAGGAAGAATGAAAAAAGATACTATCTGCAGCCAAAAAGAAAGAAAAGTGCCACTAAATAATAGATCAAAATCTTTAAGCAGGTAAGGACAGATTAGAAGCAAAAGTGATAGGGGACAGAAATAGGATCAGAACTCTGAATGCAACTGTTCAATGAGTTGTACGCATGGGCAAAGAGAACTGCTGTAACAATCAATACAGAGAAACAAAAGAAGACAACAAAAAAAGGTAAAACAAGAGACTTCTTCCCAAGATCCAAAAATTCAAAGGGAAATTTAAACCAAGAGTAGGATGTTCTACAACCAGCAAGAGAACACATTACATGACCAAGTACAAATAAAAAGACAATGGAAACAATACACTGAAGAACTATATAAGGGATGAAAAGATGACAGATTCCTTCAAGGAAGAACCATTTGAAGAAGAACCTACAATTAAAAACAAAGGAGTTTATCACACAGGCAAAAGAAACGGGATATTAGCACTATGCCCCCGTTAATATTTCGTAAATATTGCACGATAACACGAGGCTTTTCACACAATATCATTATTATTGCACGATTATCTCATGAATAAAGCAGCAAAATCGTGATGCTTTTTATTTTCGGGAAAATCCCATGAATAAAAAGCAATGTGATTTTGCTGCTTTATTCACAGAATAACCACACAATAACATCATGTGAAAACCATCGCATTAGTGCGCGATATTCACGGGATACTGTGTGAACATAGCACTAATATCCTGTTTCTTTTGCCCGTGTGACAAACCCCAAAAACAAAACAACACCAAGCAAACCTTCTAATTGTCTATTTCAGCTTTCTGAAAGGTACAGTCATGTTCTGATAACAACCTCCTCTGCAGCTAGTAACTATAGAGAAACTAATAAATCTGGGGAAGAAATAATTGTAGAATTGAGGAGAAGCAAAACCCACAGTGTCAGTGAAACCACTGATAAGTTGTTAACTCTGGAAGTGTTAAACAACACAGTTACAGCAGACCAAATCTAAGATCAACATAGTAGGAATAAAAGAGAAGTGAATAGAACAAAACTGACTTAAGGATTAGGATGGAGCCACGGCAGTTAAAGTGGGATCAAACTGCCTTTTATTTCTACAGTGTAGATGCACTCTGAGAAAGACATACCTGCACACACACACCAAGCAAGACAAAGGGCCTTTTCAGACTGCCACAAATAGTGCAAATTGAGTCCACTTTAAGGTTAGGGAATCATGGGAACTGTAGTTTATTGTGGCACCATGAGGCTCAATGTCTCAGAAAACAAACAAACAAACAACAATTCCCATGACTCCCTAACCCTTAAAGTGGACTCAATTTGCACTATTTCTGGCAGTCTGCAAAGGCCCAAGAACATAACAAGTATTATAGTCAGGAATATCAGTGTGCAAAGGGATCTTGTAGCAACTTTGAGACAGAGAGAAAGTTGTAGCATTAGATTTGATAGACTTGAGGTCAATACCACATTATACTGTCACAGTGCTATTATTCCACTTTTACTGCTATGGCTGCCTCCTGTGGAATTCTGGGGTTTGTAGTTCAGTGAGACCATAATTACTTAAATTAAAAGGTGACCAATTGAAATCACTGGCATTCTAGTTAAACATAATCACCCTGTACCTTGATTTCAATAGGTCTCTTCTAGGTTGAACTAATGCTGATTCAACCCAATTTGTATTTCCAAGCTATATGAACTTTAACAAAATGTGTGACAAATATTATAGGACCAACACTTAATACTGCACTGTACTGTTATAGAGCTATTACTCCATTTTTAAAACTGCTCTGACTGCCTCCTGTTGCATTCTGGGGTTTGTAGTTTAATGAGGCCTAAGAGTTCTCTGGCTGAGAATCCTAAATCCCCTCCCTAAACTGCAAATACCAGGATCCCATAGGAAGTAGTAATAAAATTGTAATAGCATTATAACAATGTAGTGTGACTGTCCTTAGTCTACAATGCACCTGAGGAAGCAGATCTTGGACAACATCACAGTACATTGTTATAACACTATTATTCTACTTTAATTTCTATGGCTGCCTCCTGTGTAATCCTGGGATTTGCTGCTTAGTGAAATAAATTTAGATGTCTCAGTCAGAGAGCTCTTAGGCCTCACTAAACTACAAACCCCAGAACGCTACAGGGGGCAGTTAAAGTAGAATAACAGCACTACAATATATACTATATAGACACGCACACACAGTGTGTGTGTGTGTGATATATATGTCTGTGTGTATAGCGAGAGAAAAAGAGGGAGGGAGAGAATAGGCAGCGTAGTATAGTGGTTTGAGTGGTGGACTATGATTTTGGGAGACCAGGGTTCAAATACCTGCTCAGCCATGGAAACCCACTGGGTGACCTTGGCCAAATCACATTCTCTCAGCCTCAGAAGAAGGCAAAGGAAAATTCCTTCTGAACAAAAATTGCCAAGTAAACCCTACGATAGGTTTGTCTTCGGGTTGCCGTATGTTAAAAACAACTTGGAGGCACACAATAATAACCCCTCTCTCTCCCTCCCTCTCTCTATACATACACACACATCCAGCATGGGGTAGTGGTTTAAGTGTTGAACTATAATAATAATAATAATAATAATAA